TTTTAATACTTTCAGTTTGCTCTCACAGAAACCAATCAGATAAGGACCTGATTTGATTTGATTACTACAAAAAACATCGTTGATCAGAAGATAAACTGAAGAGGACAGACATCAGCTCAGCACTTTATTTTTTCAACAGGAAAATATAGTAAAACGTTATTGATTAACTTTTATGAGTAGTTCACAGGTTATTTTCTGAATCTGCCATAAACATACCTGTATTCACAGGGAATGATGCCACTGACATTCCAGGAGTTAGACGGAGCCTGTTTACCCAAAGTGGTGGGTAGGTCTGGTGGCCTCTGGCTGGTGAAGGTTGGTAGACAGTCTATAGACTGCACTGATGGAGAGCACCATGGACTCAGTGCTGCCCCCTCCCCTGCTTTGCGATCCTCTTGGCTTTCTGTGAATGCATGACTAGAAGCCAGAAAGGGGTCAAAGGTTACGTGCAAAGGCTGACGCAGATGAGCTGGAATAACTATTTCTCTGGTGTAAGGTGGCTCTTCTGAAAAGGTCAATGTTGACCCCTGTACAATCATCTTGCTTTGTGATGAAGAATTATTTGTCTCAATTGATTCCATCTGATTGTTTGGCAGCTCATCTATCTTTGGCCCTCCAGAGGTCCCCGGTGAAGTGGAGCGTTCCTCCTGCAGGTGGGACTGCTCTCCTTGGTGAGGCACCTTGGAGCCGAGGTTCTTTGCTGGAGACTGGATCTGTGTAGATGCTACTCCTACTACCAGCTCTCCTGGCAATGCCTCTCTATCCATGTTCTTTGTGCAAACCAAGTCGTCAGGCCCAGTATGAAGACTCAGCACATCTTTGGCTAAAGAATCCTTGTTTTCTAAATGCCCTGTGGATAATTTGCATCCTGGTGTTTCCTTATCTTGAGTCGCTGGTGTATCCTGATTGAATTTGTGTGCTGTCTTGGTCAGGATGTTTGAAAATGTTGTGTCTTCCCTGACGGAGTAAACAGGGTGTCCAGCACTCTGCTCCAACCTGCAGAGAACCACAAGGGGAATCAAACAGTGACAAAATGTTTCTGTTGCTCTGATCATGGTTATAAGCCATACCTGTCATCACTTATCACATCATCATGCTATTGTCATTTACCATACACGTCGGTTAATATGATCCACTCACCCTTCTTTTCTCTCTGTCGCCTCAGTATCTGTATGAAACGCTCTGTTTTGATTCAGGGCTCCTCCTCTTCCTGTGGAAGAAGAGAAATCCCTGAACTCGGGGATGCTACGATCCAAGGTCATGGTGGAAGTCGAGGGGTTGTTCGTGTCAGAGCAGCATAAAGCAGTGCTCTGATCTCCAGTTGGTGCACTGAGCTGATGCCTGGATCCTGGAGAAACCTCAGGGGCTTGACTGGAGGATTGATCTCTTAGTGCAGTGGATTGATTTTCCACAGCGGAGGTGGAAGTCTGAGAGTTGTCACCCAAACTAAAGTCTCTTTCTTTGGTTAAGGCGGAGATGAAGTCCCTGGGCCTGGACAGGGTGAATTCATTTGTCTGGTGGTGACGGGCAGAGGTTGTCGTGCCCTGGGGATCTAAAAGACAACAACAGAAAACAATGGGTTATATTAACCATGTAGCAGCGTCACACTTAAGGTGGAAGTAATACACTTTGATAAATCGTAGGACCAAACCTACCATTTGTCAGAGCTCTCTTAATCATTCTCTCTTCCTGGATCCTCTGGTTCTCCGTGTTTAAGGTCTGGTTCTGGCTGCAGATCTTTGTCTGGTTTAGGAAATTCGTCTGCTGTTTCCTAGACTGTGTTGTGGTTTGGCTCTGAACTTTGGTCTCAGACTGAGTATGGGTTCCAGTTTTGGTTACTGATTGATTGGTTATCATTTGGTCTTGCGTTTGCTGCCAGCGCTGAGCTGGGATTTGTTTTTGAGCCTGGGATTGAACCTGTTGCTGGCTCCTAGTGTGGGTCTGAGTAGAGTGTCCAGTCCAGTTCAGTGCACCTGAGCCCCATGATTGGTTCCATGCACCGTAGGCACGTTTCTGATGCAACGGGACCTTCATGGTGCTGGCTTTGGCGCTGTACATACGGGCCAGTGTTTGGACTTTGCTTAGAATACGCTCTGAGTTTTCTATCAATACGGAGTCCACCGATGGACTGGACTCAAATAATCCAAAACTGGCTACATCCGATCCCATACCCTCAAACAAGGCCCGGTTAGCGGTGACAATCCTGGAGTGGCGGGACCATCGACCCACTTTTATCTGACTGGGAAGACACTCTAGGTTCCCGCTGGGCTTGGCCAGTTCTCTGTGTTTGGATGAGGTCTCCGTTTTTAGATGCTGTTCTGTATGTGAAGGTGTAGAGGGCTCTTTGCAGCTTCCTTTTGATTCTATTGCGCCAGTTTTTTCACAACCATTCACCACAGCTTGGTTTTCAGGACAGGTTGTTTCATCTTGTGTGGAAATAGATGGAACTATTTCACTGCAACTATCAACTTGCACTGAAAGTCCATCTTGCCTCCCAGTAGTCACAACACTCATCTGTCCCTCCTGCTTATCCTTCAGATATTCTTCTTCCAACAGTCCATTGCAGACATTGTCCTGTGTCTCACTCTCCTCTCCAACAGGCTGGTTCTGCTGCAGATTCTCACCAGCTTGGTTCGGGGTCTCCTGGTCCTGCATCATAGTAGAGGCTGGTGTCTCAATTGGTGCGTCTGCATCAGAATCCAGGGAGCTGATTGGTTTATCTGCCTGTCCATCACTCTCTGCAACAGCTGAGAGTGGAGTTGGGGAAGAGATGGGACCAGTGAAGAAACAGAGATCTGTCTCTCCATCTGTCCCTCCACTGATGGTCTCAGACATGGATTGTCCACTCTCTGGCTCCCCCTGGTGTCCACTCACATCAAAGCGTGATACAGACTCCTTTACCAAGCCGGATGGGATCTGTGAGAAACTGTTCCGCCTTCTTCCTGCCACGCCTTCTCCCTGCTCCTCTTCCTCCTCTGCCTCCTCCTCTCCGGCCTCGGCTGCTGCCTCGTAGTAACTCCTGATCTTTTCGATGATCTTCTTGTCTCGTTTGGTGAGGTGGGAGCGTCTTGTGGGGGGCTGACGTCTCTGGATGGGGTGAAGGAGGGGATCTGAACTCTGCAAGGAGGTTGCGACCTCATTGTTTTCCTTCTCAGTGGGTGAGTTACAGCTGCCTCCACTCTCTCTCTTTTCTTCTGCTGAGGTGGAGGAATGAAGATCTGATGTTGGAGCGGGGGTGACGCCCTCGCCCTCATCCCAAGTTTTCTCTTCATCTTTGTCTTCTTCTACCCCTTCTCCTTCTTTCTCTCCATCTGCCTCCACCATTTCAACTTCGCTTGTGGCATCTGGAATTTCTTTGACCTCAGTTGTTGTCTTATTTTCATCAGCAGAGCCACCGGTCGGACTGTGGAGGGGGCCGTCCTCCTCCATTCCTGAGCTTCCCTTCTCTTCCTGCCCTGAGGTCCTCTGTTCTGGACTGGAGGGGCAGGCGACCGGGGGCAGCGGGCAGGTGAAGTTGGTCTGGTGAGTTGGACTCTGGCTCTCTTTGAGCTCATCCAGGACCTGCTCCTCGAAGACAAATAAGACAGCGTTTTAAAATGTGTCTCCTATACACTGACATGACAGCTGCCAAAAGTGAGGCCAAAACGTCTCGATCACCCCTGGTGTCTGGCTACACTATAGCTTATAAACCCTGCCTCCTCCATGTTAGTAGATGGAACATGGACCAAACTAAAAAAAATCAAAGAAGACGTTAAATAAATGTTTCAAAGAAGTTGTTCAGCTCGTTCTCGTCTCACTGATGTTTGTTCATGTTTCTGATCAGTTTGGTTTGAATCAGTTATTTGATGATATAAAAACAGGCGGAGACGTCATGATTGACAGCTGACACTGACTCCTGATTGGTTGAGCTACTTCGAAGACTGACTCGATGCAAGATGGCCGTGTTTATATCTGGCTTCATTTCTGGGCCGTAGAGCGTAAGTTGTGTCCCGTTAAACATCTTGTTGAAGACAAAATGACCTTGAGTCTCTTGTGTTACATGTAGTTTAAAGTGGATTGGTACCATTGTGTCAGTGTGGATGGAGGCGAGTCCCTCCCTGGCTCTGCTCTGGTTGATGAACTCCAGGATCTCCTCAGTGATGGACAGAGTCGGAGGAGGAATAAGTGGCGTCAACTCCTCGTCTTCCTCTTCCTGATCATCAGAACAGATGAGAACAGAAAAAATGGAATTTGTTGTGTGTTAAAACTGAATTTCTTTCCAGGCCAGGTTTAAGTCATGAGGAGAATTCAGATTGTTTTCATAAGACTTGTTATTTAGTCCTATTTAAACATTTGATGCTTAAACCCGGAGAAATCATTAAATCCAATCATCAGGTCACAGTCAAATACCTTGTCCTCGTTTTTACTTCGTAGTGGTTCTGACAGGCCCAGTTCAGCCCGTTCAGCCTCCACCTCAATGACAGAGGACGCCAGCGTGCTGCTGCTGCCGGCCGAGCCCAGACTGTCGGCCTGGCACAGCTCGGCCTCGCTGCTCGCCGGCTGCAAAACACCACAGCACCCGGTCAGTGTCACAAGATCTGATCCTTATGGTGAGACATTATAAGAGACGACTCTGCTCTCAGCTTAGTGTGTGTGTGTTTGTAAGTTTGTGTGTATGTGTTATATATGTGTTTGTTTATATATGTGTGTGTGTGTGAGCATGTGTGTGTGTGTTTAAGAAGACTCTCCTCAGCTTCGTCACTTCGTTGTGGTTTGTTTGTGAAGCTCCCAGTTGTTCATCAGATAACAACAACACAACACAGAGTCTCGTTGTGTCTTTACTGGAGCGTTCTCCTGAGAACTCACCTTCAGGGCTGCAGGTTCCCCGGTGAGAGAGAGCCGATGGTCAGCGGAGGGAGAGGAAGAAGAAGAGGAAGTCAGAATCAAAAGTCTGCGTGTGTGTGTGTGGTTCAGCTGCAACATGACACTTCACCACTAGAGGTCACTACATTCTACACACTGAACCTTTAAGTTCGACACACAACCTCAGAGACGTTCTCACCGTTGGGATGAAACACAGCTTCAATGTCTTTAGCTGGAGCTGAAACAGAAACACAGACTTTATACGATCTGGATTATAACTGCTGCTGTCCTCAGGTGTCTCTGTCTACCTGACTGTCCTCAGATGAGTCTGTCTACCTGACTGTCCTCAGGTG